ACAAATCTATCTCAAAAAAATGGCTAGAGTTACACTTTAAAGTATAGTGATATGTGTATATTTAATGTAGAGTACCAGGAGTAGATATGATTAAATATTAAATGTCTTGTAATAGATAACAGCCCAGACAGGGATCACTTTGACACAGTTGGTCATCTCAGCATATATTAAACATATACAGTTTTAAGTTATTGTTTTTATGCAGACGTTTTTTTAAGTATATCTAAACCCAAAAGCAAACATTTTTGATATTTCAGCTTACCAGTACTTACATGTGGTGGCTGCATTAGTTTTCTTTTTTATGCTTTTTTAGGATTTTATTTATTTTCACCTAGTGATCCATCCAGCAAGTCTGTTTTTTCCAATTCCTTTAACAGAACAAGCTGTTTAGCAAAAATGGCAGAAAAAGGGTTGAAAAAGTGAGGAGACAAACCATTTAACACTGACAGGGGTGCTTACAATGGTCATCTTTTATTAATTAACATTAAACCTTTATCTTAAAAGAAAAAAAAATGTGGCTGTAACTGCTTGAAAGGTTTTGACTAGCTGACACTATTGCTGTCCAAGGGTGGCTCTGTTTCTCCTCCCTAGAGGCAAGATGCGTCTTACTGGCTGGAACGCCATATAAAAATAAAGGGGAAACAAGTCTAAAAAAGACAACTAATGAAGCCACCACATTTAGGGATTGGTGAGCTGCAATAGATAACATTTTTGTTTTTGGGTTTGGATACACTTTAAGCCTGAAGCAATGTGAAGAATGGTCTCTGCATGCAACAAAATAACCACCATCCTTATCTATAGAGAAGTTACCCCCCAGGAGAAGAGACTGTCAAAGGGTCTGTATTAGTTCTAGGTGACAAGTTGTGGAAATATAGACTTCTCAGGGTTACAGATTGATCATAGTAACATTCTCTTTTTATTTCTCTTCCTATGCATTGACAATCTTAGCCATAATAAATAGATGTCACAGGTTTGATGATTCCAGATAGCTTTGTATAGATAGATATATTACTGTACATATTATTCATATATAGCTTAGTACCCATTTGTCATTTAGTATACAATTTAAAAATAGTAATTGTTTTAAATACTGGGATTATTATATTTATTTTGATAAAGTTAAGTGGTATTAGTAAAATCCATATATAAATTTCCTAACATAAAGGTTTGCAAAATATTCTTTTATTTATGTAGTTCCAGTTGTATGTGATCTGCTGGGTCTGTACAGATGCTAGAGTGGGGGTACTACATCCTCCCACCGCCCATGGCAACGTGAGGGCCTCAGCTTGACATTTTGGATGGGTCTCTCCAAACTCTTCATGATGATGGGAGATCTCCCAAATGGGGTCCCAGGGCGTGTAAAGATTGGTAGGCAATTAAAGTCCCTTTTTTTTTTTACCCTGAGCTGGCTGCTGCATTAGACCAGTTCTTTGAGTTGCTTTGCCTACTTAAAATGATCATGTACTGTAGTATAGTAGTAGTACAAGTGTAGTATAAAATCCTGCATTTAAAAGGGAATCTGCCGTGAAGCAATATAAAGAGAGTTCTGATAAAAGCCACTTGCTAGTTCTAAGGCAGCAAATTGAACCTTAATCAGTTTCAGGAACCCTGTCCCTGTACTAGTGAGTAGCTGAGGGGGCACTAATATGCCACTTCCCACCCTGAACCTTCTCATAAAGGCATTTTGCTTAGTGACACTGTCCTTCTGAAGATACACAAAAACTATTTGTTACATTTTGATGCATGGTGTGTAATCCCTATAGGACTTATACATGTGCCAGCTATTGGCCAAGAAAGGTCATTCATGTCTTAAAAAAATGAAAATGTAGAGGGCCCATTCACACTTTTGTGCTGCAATTACGCATGTGTTACTGTGCATTTCCACACCTCAATGGCACCCCAATGCACCTTACTAACGGACTATGTGCAGTGACCTGCCAGAAATGTTACATGCACCTTTTTGGGCTGTCTTAACACGATGCATGTTAACACAGCACCATAGTGTGAATGGGCCCCTAAGGGCAAATGTATTCATGCGCATTAAGTCAAGCAATAATGACCTAAAAATGAGCATGTAAAGCAGTGGTCTCATCTGACAATGGGGTGCCTCTGTATGTTTTTTACTTGCACAGAAGCCAGAAGTCGCAAGCAGTTCCAAGAGATCAAAGGACACTATCAGAGTATTTGGACACATTGTTATAAGATACAATGTTAACCCTTTTTTGGAGTGTTTCACATTATGAATTCACTTTGTTACCACTTGTATAATGTTATTGTGTTTTATTTATATATATATATATATATACGTATTACTAGAAGTTAATGTTAAAGCGTATGTCAAGGCAAAATATATATTTGTTTAAATTGTACATCTGTGCAATGTATGAACATTTTCCTATGTTGTATCGTTTTAAACATGCTGCAAGTACACATACCTTGCTTCCTCTTGACATGAAAATACAGTCCCTGGAATCCACAAACAGTGTCTATGACACTCTTAAGAATTCTGTCATGCATCCACACAACAAATGTCAATGCTTGCTCAAGCAACCTCATTTGCTATACAGGACACTCAGTCCCCCGTGCACCTCAATACAGATGAGCCTGAAAAAAAATCACAGGTTCAGCATTATTGAGCACTCTACCTGGCCACTGTCACATAGGCAGGTGCAGCGGGTGAGGACTTATGCTGCAGGTGGGCGGAGCCTGATGGGTAACTCTGAAAGACTAGTTCCCCATCAGGTTCACCACCTTTGTGATTGATAGCAGGAAGTGGGCAGATTCCATAGCCAATAGACAACCTGTTATTGGCTATGGAATTCACCCATTGCATGCTGTCAATTCCAATGGAGGCAACTCTAATGGGGAACTAGTCTCTCAGAGCTTCCCATCAGGTTCTGCCACTGTCAGCATCACTGGTTGCTAAGGGGCTGTCAGCTTGCTGCTCATGGCTCGTTTTTGCTAGGGCACTGGCGTCCTCTGCATAGCTGTTATATTCATGACAGCTTCCCATCAAATACATGCTCCACTCTTAGCACTGGTGTCTCTCTGTACACCAGATCAGATTTGGTCTTAATTTCTTCTAGTTTTCTAATTTGTAAACTGTTGATAAATCGTTTTTTATCTGAATCAGTAGCCATAGCAACAGATTCTTAAAGTGATGGTAATAAGAACTACTTCCTGGATCTATTAAACATTTTGGAACTACAATTAAAACTGTTGCAAGGCTTTCATGAATAAGGTGCAGGTTGTTTTAAAGGGACCCTACTGCCAGAAAAGTGTTATACATGCTTCATGCTTTAATTAATTTTCCCGAGTGTATTGTTGGCTCTGAATGCAAAAGGATTTGGTGTCAGCCCTGCCTGCTTCATTTATGATCCCCTCCCTCTTCCTCACCTCCATAACGCCTCCTTGTGCACAGACAGAGACCACAGGAAGTTAACAGCTCACAAGATTTCTAACAAAATCAACAGGTTATTTTTGACATATTGAATATATTGTTGGTTATGTGTTTAGATGAAGCACTGAGATCTTGAAGAATGCTGAATTAAGCTTTACTTGCTTAGAAGAACATTACACACATGAATACAGCATTGTGAAGAAAACACAGAGAAAAAAAAAGAACTTCCGGTGTATCATAAGATAAGCATGCACTTCAGCGCCATCTACAGCTCAAAAGACATATCAGTACATTAGTATATGCTGTTGTATTTCCAACATACAGTAGGGGAATTTATCAAAACTGGAGCAGACAAAATCTGGAGCAGTTGCCCATGGCAACTGATCATCATCTCTCTTCAGTTTGCTCAGGTAAGATTTGAAAATGAGAGAGGGAAGCTGATTGGTTTTGATCAATTCCGCAGATTATATATAGCAAAAGGCTTTCAATGGTATATTTAGCAGACCAAATGGGAGAAAATAAGTTCAGTGTTAGTGTTTACATACATTTTGCCCATTCATTTGAATGGGCTGCCTAATGCAGCAAAACACACCAGAAAAAGGTGCATGTAGATTTTTTGGCAGCACATTGCAATGTACTTTCCGTCGGCAAGGTGCGTTGGGATGCCATTTAGAATGAGTGTCACTGCAATGCACCAGCATGCATAATGCACATTACCGCAATGCAACAATGTGCCACAGTACATGATTGATCTCTTCTTAGGTCTCTGGAGAATCTTGCCTGGATGGTTTCATTAAAGTTTATATAGTCAGATCTAAGGGTCCTGTAGAGCAATGGCTGTGACAAAATGGGTAAATTCTTCATTAGTATTAGCCAGTGCTGTCTATTATAATGTGTGTACTAACCAAGCATCATCCATGGTAAACCCTGGTCTTGCTCAATAAAATCATACATTCTACAACAACAAAAGTTATGCAGAGTTAGTATTACAACTCATTTTGGCTACAGTGCCCTTTTTGTATGTCTGACAGCCACATACTGTCTTTTTGTAAATTTGGAGAGTTTTACTTTAAGGTAAATTAGGGAATATCTCATTTATAGCTATGGAACAAAGAATGACACTTACGAATAACATCTATGCCATTTCCCCTCTTCACCCGTCTTTTCTTTCCCCTCTCTGGTAGTTTGGGTTGCCACCTTTTTTTCAAGAGAAATCCGAACACTCAAGCGACGCTCTGACATTTTTTTTGGGGAGAATGAGTCGCAGCTTATTCATATGTAAATAGTGCCACCCATTCATATGCAAATACCATAGATGAGACTATTTTCAGTGGGGGGCAGTAGCTCCTATCTTAATTTTGGTTGCCCCTGTCTGCCTATCATCTTGTGTCTGGGTTTCTGCTGCCATGAAACCCGGTGAATCCTGGACAGGTGGCAACCCTACTGGTAGTAGAGAAGGCGGAAAGTAATGAGTATTCAAGTATCAACCTTTCATTATATTCTCCTTAGTAAATACACTTAGGGGTCTATTCACAAAGCTGCCGAGGGCAGCCGAGTGAATGACCGATCAGAATTTATGTGTGTATTTTATACAGCAATATCAGGACTGGACCATGTCTCTCACTTCTTCGACAGAATGCAGCCCTTGGTAGCTTCCATGGTGGTTGTTCTGCTCCCATGTCATAACACTATTTACATTGGTGGTGTCTTTATGACAGTAGGAATATCGATGGTTCATGTGCTGCGAGAAGGAGCCGGAATGCGAGAATCTCTTGCCACATTTGTCACAGCGATAAGGCTTCTCTCCGGAGTGCAGGCGGACATGTTCAATGAGGTGATGCTTGTGCTTGAAGGCCTTGCTACAAACGTCACACTGATGTGGCCTATTACCTAAACACACAACATATGTTCAAGATGAGTAATCAAAATGACATCAGCTGTAACCTTAATTCTCAGGAAAAATGAAAACATTCATGACAAACCATAAAATAAGAACTGATTGTTTGTACGTCATGTCTTTTATATAGTATATAACAATAATAATATGATGATGATGATGATATCATTGACCTATTCATAATCTCCAGTGTTATGCTCTCTAGGGTAAATTATCTGAAGGCAGGAGACTGATGATATGATTTATGATTTAGTTTTCTGTAATTCCTTCTTATATGAAAAGGTAATTTCTAGATAGACATAGAAGAATACAGAGACTATGCAATGTACAGTAAATCAAACAATGCTGGTAAAAGATAGTTCCTTATAATGTGTACAATTTTTAGTTCAGGGCCCCTTACTCAAGCAGTGCTGCCTATGTGGCTTAATAAACCCTAAATGCAGCAAGAAGGAGGCCTGACCAATTCTGTCGAATACTGCAATGTAGCTTTCAAAAAGTGAGGTTTAAAGTTAGCTAATAGATGTGTCAAAGCAATGAAGTGTTATGCCACCAATCTGGTCACCATTTATAACCACACTAAAGATAAATTTCTGGTCAAAAGCACAGCAAAGCTATTTTCTTAGATTTTAAAGTTGTTCTTTCTTTTACATTTTTATTTTTTTGGTGCAATGCTGCTAAAAACAATTGGACAGAACAAATAAAATATGAATACATATGACAATTAAACATGAATAAATTAAATTGGAAAAAAATTGACGTTAAAGGGAGAAGGGGAGGATGAAGTAAAAGTCAAACTAGGCTGACCATTTTTCCTTGAGCCAAAAGCGGGACATTGGGATGGCAAAAACAGGATGGTTTTAATATTCCGAGTTCATGAAAAAGTAAGATAACAAAAGTTTTATGACAATATAGTAGATGAATACAGAATAAAATTTTAGACAAAATGAATTATTATGCTGTTTTGTATTAAGAGGCAACAAGCCTCCAAATCCGAAACTGCACACTGTAAAAAAAAAAAAATGTGCGGCAGTCATATTGATATGCACGCATGTGTGCATAGAAACAATGGCCAAATGTCAAAAATCTCGTAGCACTCCTTACCGGAAGTCCCAAAATATTTATGGGTGCTCGAAATGACAACAGATGGCGCTGCACACAGAACAACTTTAGATATAGATGTCATCAGCATACCAGCACGACAGAAACTCGTAAGTCAGTGCAAATCCATTTATTTGATAGATGTCACTCAGGATATCATGCGCTTTCGGGGCCATGCAAGGTCCCCTTCATCAGGCTCAGAGTAGACATTGACATTTCAAGTTTTTATTTTATGGCTCTCGGGGAGATTTTCCTTCATTACACTACTGGTGACATCTGGGATTCCAATATTCTACTAAAAAAGTGTTTTATTCCTGTTATTTCCCTGTTAAGAGAGATTTCCCAAACATCCTGCCTGAGGACAGCTTTGTTACATGATAGATGGTAATAAAATACATGGTAAGAAAATGGATGGTAATAAAACACTAACCCTTCCACCCATTAGGGCTTATTTTATAAAACTTCAAGGAAAATTCCTATACTCATCAGCACCATCTAGTGCCATGCGAATTGGCATGCTCTCTGCTATACACTGGGCCAAAATTTAATAAACTAACCCCTAAGCAAAGATTAAAAAAAGTTTTGTCTGGAGTATTTTTTATTACAGGTATCTCTATAGTACCACCAATTTACTCAGCACATTCACATCAGTCCCTGCCCTCAAGAAGCTTACAATCTAAGGTCCCTATTGTACACGCATACAGAGCCAATTTAGACAGGATCCAATTAACCTTCTAGCATGTGTTTGGAGTGTGGGAGGAAACCGGAGTACCCGGAGGAAACCCATGCAAGCACAAGGAGAACATGCAAACTCCTTGCAGATAGTGTCCTAACCGGGGGGTTTCCAACCAGGGATCCCCAGTACTACAAGTCAGAAGTACTAACTACTAAGCCACAGTGCTGCGATTAAATTCTAAATATTATGAAACATTCATTCTTTTTTTAATATTATTTGCAACATATTGTTTTACTTTGGTGTTTTTATTGCATGGTATATGCACATATTATTTTATACTATGAAATGTGTGAGTTATTACTAGATTTTTTCTCACTTTCTGTTGGACCTCTGGAACATAAAGTAAAGTTCCTACTCTATCAAAAATGAAAAAAAATATGTTTTTGCTATACATCCACTTTAATAGAACAGTTAACATCTTGAATATAGTGTTAATTGTATAGTAAACACCATACCATGTATTTTTCAGAAACCGTATTGGCATATTACATGGCCAGGAACTTTACAGTCTTACCTGTGTGTTCATACTTGTGTCTCAAGAGAGAGCTGCTTTTCTGAAAAGTTTTACTACACTGATCACAGGCGTACAAGCCGTTTTCCAACTTCTTTGAGTTTTTTCGGGAGCCACTTGTGTGCTTTTCTTCATCACTGGTGAGATTCTAAAAAACATAAAGATTAGGTTGTCACATGCCAAGCACCTGTGGATGCACCTCTGTCATAAAACCTTCAAGCACAGACGGTTTGCAAAGATGTCACGCGTCTATGACATACTCATAAAGCGTAAATAAACCTGAAAACAAAAATGTAATCTATTGCAGTTTACCAGTCCTTAGATGTGGTGGTTGCATCACTTCTCACTATTCAGCATAAGAATCTGTTGATCTTGCCCGTGAGTTTAAAAGAAAGCACAAAGAATGCTATCGCTATTGTGTAAACTACTGCAACCAGCAATCCACCATTTAATGCAGATGAAAAACATAGACATATCCAGCCTGTATGACAACCATGGCTGCCCCCATAGATGGAGTGGAGCAAAATGTGAAGACATGAAGGGACAGGAAGCGTGTCATTCACAAGATTACCAGGTGAAAATATACAGCAGGAAAAACACACTGAAAAAAATAATAATGCAGCCAATACATTAAGCACTGACAAGCGGCAAAATTTAAAGTGACACTAAACTCAGGAGTTAAATCTTAAAAATGTTTTCAAATACCTTAACTTTTAACAAAAATACAGCTTATTTGTGCATCACCCGGCTGTAGATCTTCAGATTATTATTTTTATTCAGGATTTCTATAGTGCCACCAGTTTGTGCAGCACTTTACAACATAAGGAGGACATTACAGTTACAATACAAGTGAAGACAAGATGGTAAGGTGGGCCCTGCACCAAATAGCTCTCATGATGGACTACAATCTCATGTTTAGTTTACAAAGGGGGTTATTCACTATGGAGCCGAAGTATACAGCAATAGCTTCGGTTCTCTTCAGCCGCCGGAGCCATTCGGTTCAGTTGAATCGAAGGGCTGCTGTACGGGCTATTCGCAATAGCCCGTACAGCAGTCGAAGGCAGCCGAGCAGAAGGCATATGCTTTGGCTCAACTGAGCCGAAGTGACAGCCGGAGCATGGAGTAAGGTCTTACCTAAGGCAGCCAATGTACAACTGATTTTAGCCGATGTGCGGCTGAAATCAGCCGTACAAGCCAGAAGTGAATAGTCGAACAGCGTTCGGCTCACTTCACTTCGGCTGGGTTATTCACTCGGCTGCCTTCGGCAGCTTTGTGAATAACAACCCTAACTTGTATTGAGATTGTAGTCCATCACTGGAGTGAGCTTGGAGCAGTTGTCTATTTTACAACACACACAAGAACCATGGGGAACAAAAGTAGCCACCCTCCAGAAGGAAGGACAGTGTCAGCACCAATTCAGAGATGATTTGAGGATCTACAGCCGAGTGATACACAAATAAGATACATTATAGTAAAGGTACTTTAATGCACTTTTACGGTTTAACTCCTGTGTGTAGTGTCACGTTAAGACTAAATATTCCGATTCTTGCAAAAAAAAATGTACCAGGTTCTCCTGAAGCTAAGCAGTACACACATTTTACAGATTAGAATGCTTTATTTTATACTTGGTTTGCATTTAGTAAACCATTTCCAACTATTACAGAATAAGGATTTTTTCTCAATGTCTTGAATAGTCAAATTACTAATTGTCAATTTCTCTTTTCATAGTTATCCTTTTTAGCAGTCAAAAATATACTGCACACAATACCGAAATTGTGTCTTGTGAATGCTACAGTACAAGAGTCAATGACCTTTCTGATCTTACTAAAATAAAATATGACCTCTAGCTATATGAGGCATAAAACAGTGTTGGACAGTATTCCGCCATCAGATATCATCTTGTAGTAATGTATGAGACTAATGAAAGAGGTCTTTGTAATAGTGTTTATACTTTCAACATTGCACATTAAATAAAAGCCATTTTTCTAGATAAAGAAGCTAAAAAATTGGCTTACCATAATCCCAACATTTTCATTTATTTTTTTCAGGTTAATTGAAGTGTCTTCGTAGAAGCAGTTCATATAGGGACATAATGAAAACCCATTTAAAGGGTGGCTTATATTCACACATGGACATCGAGTTTGTAAAAAGCTGTGCAAAACATCCGGTAGTACGCACGGAATGTTCACTGACCCGTTTTGTGGCTCAATATATAATATTTGTGGTGGTAGCAAATCCAGATTTAAACTTTTAATTTCAAACTTTTCATTTGTGTCATTTGAGGTTTCTCCACTGGACATTGTCTTTAAAGGTGTTGTACTGCCTAATTTAGGCATGGATAAGTCTAGCGGCACCTGCTGGGGTTCCTGGAATAGAGGGACAGAGGGTAAGTGACTATGAATAGTATACTTTGACTTCATTTGTTCTTCTAAATCACAGGGTTCAGCGGAGCCATAACATTTTGATGTTCCTTGTCTTGGCCCGGAACTCTGTGACTTCTCTTGAATATTTGGACAAGGTGAACATAATAGTTTATGGAAACCACTAGAACTTGCAACGTTTCTGGGTTTTTCTACTATAAAGTTCACTTTGTGGGTTTTTATTGAAGTACTTTCATGGTGTGTTCCTGAGTTATTTACGATTGAGTTAATATGCTTCATTCTTTGGTATGGAGGTGAAGAAATTGCATTATCTTCTATGACTCTACTTTGGCAGTGCTGTTTCAGGACTGGTGTTTCTGGGTAGTAACCATTATATGGAGTAGCACTACTACTCAGATGTTCCACATTGTGCTTTTTTAGGGAGAACCAGTTACTGCGGTCACCTGCTGACCATCTGCTAGAGTCAATCTGGATATGGTACTGATTGCTCCACCAGTCAGTGCCTAAATGCCAAATGTCTGGTGTCTCTGACAAACTTGGGCTCATGGACATGCCCATAGACATGCTCTGAACAGATCTAGGTGTGATATTAAAACCACACAAAGAGAGGTGTGGCAATGTGACGGAATTGGTATCCAGGCTGTGTAATAGCCATTTTCTGTTATAATGATCAGTGGCCTTTTGTGACTTTATTTGATCTTTGTAGTTTTCTTCAAAATCCATTTTTTGTGGAGAGCCGAAAGAAGAAACCAAAGAAGTCACAACGTCTTGCTTGTCCTGAGTGGGAAAGCACTTTCTGTTGTTTAAGTGAGAGCTATATGATCCTGAATGTGAGAATCTTCTTTTGCACTTAGAGCATTCATATGGCTTTTCACCTGCAAATAAAAATGATTCAGAAAATTCTCACCTTTGCACATTATTGTTTAGTACATTATTTGATTAGTAATGTATAGCTGGATACCACAATGGGGTGGCTGGGATATCATGGTGATAAGAAAATAGCTTTCTTTATTGCACAAAGTTTTCAAGGTGAGGCTGAGCTAAAACAGGCTATAATGATCCTATTTTACCATATTGTAGAGACAGATAGTTGGTAAAATGCAGTAGCCCGGGGTGATAATGGCCAAAGTCTATTAACCCATAGTGACCAGTCTGATTTTAGTTACTTAACCACTTAGGGCTGTCTTGAGCAATTTCTTAATATTTGCACACATGTGATGAAACAGCTTCAGACCCCCAAATAATGATATATTTTCAGAAAGCAGAGGCCCTGTAGAATATAAAAATGCTAGTTGCAATTTTTTATGGTGCACCGTATCTGTGCAAATGTTTATCAAACTAGTATTTTTAGGATAAAATACACTAAAATGAAATTTAGTGCACAGAAACAGAATATAATACCCACTTTTTTGGTAAAACATAAAAGATGGGGTCACGCCAGGTAAATTGATACCAAACATGTCAAGCCTTAAAATTGTGCGCACCCCGTGAAACCGCAAAAAAACTACAATACCCATAATTTGCCATAGGCGATGCTTTAAAAGCTTTTTCTGCTCATCAGTTTTGTGTAAGCAGCGATTAAAGGCCCTAGAATTATTGCTCTCACACGATGTTCGCTGCAATAATATTACTTCATTCAAATGAAGGACATTGTGTATTATAAGCACTTTGTATGAATTTGTTCACTATTTTTTTTACACATTGTGGCACACTGTTTATAATTGCATTTACATTTATCCATTTATTGATTGAGTTTACATTATTAGTTTTGAGCGCAGCTATGTGAATGAGATTCACAGTGTATTATGACCACTAGATGGAGCCTAGGAGCATAGCAAATCCCTATACTCCTTAGCTCTATCTAGGGGCAATAATGCGTTGCAAATCATGTTTGCATATCCGTTCGCTGTGCGAGCGGTCTACAAATCACCTTACTGGCCTGGTAGAAACATTGTCATTGTAGCAGGAAGTGAGAAGACATCTCCAATAGTGAGAGAGATTTTACCCCACCCTACTAATAAAAAGTATTTATATTGCTACTGTGCCCCTGTTGAAGAGATTTCCCACATTTCTTGTCCCGGTTGCAACATTGCCACTGTGTTAGGAAGTGTGGGGATATCTACAGTGGGGATATACTGTAGATAGAAATGCAATTCAAAGCTAACAGAGATTCTAGCCTTCCCCATCCTACTAATACAAAGATCATTTTAATGTCATTGGGTGTTAGGAAGATTTCCGTGAACTTGCTTTTCTGGTGACAATGTTGTCATGAGGATGGGAAGTAAGGTAACATTTCCCAAACAGACCACAGACAGCAACAATACATAAATAAAAAGTTTGACTACTGAAACATTTTAACTAACATTTTTACATGGCATCATAAATGCAGATCTACAGAAGTGTGTACTTACCACTGTGTATACGTATGTGCTCTTTCAGATGATGCTTAAATTTAAAGGCTTTTCCGCACTCCATGCACTTAAACTTCCTGTTTTCTGCAGCATTCTTGAATGATGTCTAAAATATAAGTCTCATGTTAAAGTTTCTCTAGGTTAGACTGAGTGGGAATGCTTAGCAGGTTTAGACAAAACTGAACACTTTCTTTTTCAGTTCTTATTGCTGTAACATCTATTCATTGAACTAATTCTGGCTCAAGCAGTTTGAAGGTCCCTATGAATGGTTTAAAGGTAAACAGCAAGGAGCCTATTAAATGGAATGCTATCGGGTAATGGCAGAAAAGTTTGTAGATTTGTAGAACCTATCTCCCAGCTTGCTAATATGCAATGCCTTTACCAAAGCTGTGACTTCCTTTCCTTGCTGCCTTCTATGTACATATAACATTCTATTTATTCTTCACAGTGTTACCAACGGTGACGTGTCAAGATGAATATCAAGAAAATATTATAAGTTATCATAAGGAAAAAAGCTAAAGCTGAGCTCCAGCCAGATGTCTAACCACTAGTTACTGCAGTTTTGTATTCCTTATTATTACATCGTTATTTTTTTGAATGCAGCTAGTATGAGTACCTACATTTGAGATATCAGCCTATTGTAATTCCAGTACAGTAGAACTCAGAACGGCACTAGTACTAAAAGCCATTCGGGCTCTGATGTATGCACTCGTGCTAACAAGGAATATGATAATAGAAAGAGACAGCAGAGTGAGCACAAGAATGACATAATAAATCTACTGCTGTTTCTTAAAGAAGAACTACAGAAAATGTAAAAATTAAGCCTTCGAGTGGCACTACCCCTGCACTGCAGTGAATGTTGAGGTCTAGGGGCTAAAATAAAGAAAACATACTCACCTGATCCTCATTCCTGCTTCGCTGCTAGACCCATCTCTGCAGTCTCTTCTCCGCTGGGCTCCAGCGGTCTAAGGACCTGTGATGTTACAGCAGCTGCAATATACATGAGGACGCCGAAGGACATTCCATGGAAGTTGGGGAGAGAGGTGAGTACTCACCGCTGAGGACCAGGTGAACATATTTTCTTTATTTTAGCCCCTAGACCAAAACAAGCACTTAACCCTTGCAGTGCGGGTGTAGCCCCACTGCAAGGGTTAATTTTCACATTTCCTCAGGTTCTTCCTTAACAATTCAAACACAGACTGGGGATGAGAAGGTGACCCAGCTGCCTCGCCAACTGTAATTAGAGAAAAGTTAGGACACCAACCTGGCTCTGCAGTTTGGAAGGGTAGCTTTAATCTCTGGACTGGATGGAGAGAAGTACATAACTCTCTTTTTTATCAGTGTTTAGCTATTAGATATTTGGATTCTAGACTACCAGGGCTGAGCTGCAAATAACGCTTTCCTAACCCCTATTTATAAAATCAGAACAACACTGTGCCAGCATGGAGAGCCAGTCATGTATGGATCAGACATGTGGTTGGGAACACAGTGAAGATTCAGACATCTGCCCTCCAAAGTATGTAAAGAAGATGGAGTGATGAGATAACAATGCTGCAGTCTATAAATGGTGATACATTGAACCACACCAAAACACACACAACACAAAGTTTAGTAAATAATGGTATATCCCCAGGGCCGGTGCTGGCACTAGGCAAACTAGGCAGCCGCCTAGGGCGCACTGCTGCCTAGGGCGCACTGCTACCTAGAGTGCAGCCTTGACCATTCACCCCCCACGGCGCCCCAGTCTATTTCAAATCGCAAAAGCCAATAGCAGGCTGGCCCACTGAGCAGAGGAGCATAACTGAGAGACAACTTTCTCTCTCAGGTTCGCTCCTCCGCTCAGTGGGTGGGGCTTCAATTGCCAGTCTGCTATTGGCTATTTCAAATTAAATTACATCCACCTGTCACCTGCAGAAGCTAACCTGCAGGAGAATGGGGCTGCGCGGGAGGGATTGGGGTTTGCGCCATGGGAGGGGGGGTGCAAGTAGCTGGTCTTGCTTAGGGCGCAAAATAGTCTAGCACCGCTCTGTATATCCCATATGGCAGGGGTAGGCAAACTCCGGCCCTCCAGCTGTGGTGCAACTACAATTCCAATTAGGCAATTCAAGACTCTGACAGCAAAAGGCTTGACTCCCTGTTGCAGTTGCATGATGGGATTTTCTAGTTTCACCACGGCTGGAGGGTCGGAGTTTGCCTACCCCTGCTATATGCATACTTGGCAACAGTGTATTCTCCTGTGCGCTATCTTAAAGTGCAACCGAAGCCAAACTTTTGTTGTTGTTGTTTTGGATAGAGTAAAAAGAGATTAGAACCACTGGGAGGTTTTTTTGCTCCCTATTTCCCCATTAGGGAGATTTACCCTCTCTATTGGTCCTGGTAACCATTATCGCTGAAAATAAAAGTGAAAGAAAATCCCAAATTTTGGGCTGCCCTCAGAACAGGAATAGATAGGAAGTCTTCCAGTGGGGACACTATTTCTGGTGACCCTGTAGATCAGGGGTCAGCAACCTTTTACACACCGAGTGCCATTTTTGCAACCATCAGACAACCGAGTGCCATTGAACAATAGTGCACCATAGTACTAGTAAATTTCAGTTTTTGTACTCATAGTTGTACTGCTAATAATAAGTTAAACTCACTAATTATTTGAATTTGATTACCTTGCCATTAGCAGCACAACTGTGAGTGAATATAGGGCCATTCCCAGGAAGGACAGGTGCTGCGTTTGGTTTTGCGCAGCAGACTGTCCTTCCCTATGGGAGGACACGGCCGTACGTTCACCCTTAGCTACACATCCGTGCGGGTGTACTGTAGATCATCAGGGATTTCCCTCTCTTTGGAGGGATTTCCTCTCACTTCCTGTTGACTATCAGACAGGAAGTGAAGCTGAATCTCCCTAATGGGAAACAGATCGCAAAAAAAGCTGATAGCGGTTGTAACCCTCCCTTACTCTATCCAAACAGTTTTGTCTTCAGTTTAATTTTACGTTTCTACAGAAAAATGGGTGGATCTTCATATGAATGTGGATGGCACATATTTATGGCCCAATTATCAATCTTCACTATTAATGATGATCCCAATGTAACTTTACATAAATAACTGATATTAAAGTTTGTCTATTGAACATGAAATACTATGAAGATGATTATTAATTCCCTCCTCATGTATCACTTCCCCGTCTCTTTTAGATTGTAAGCCCTCAGGGGCAGGGCCATCCTTCCCATCTTGTCTTGAATTGTATTGTGATTGTAATGTCTTCCTTATATTGTAAAGCCCTGCTCAAACTGTTGGTGCTATATAAATCCTGTATTATAATAATAATAATAATAATAATAATTAATAAAAAACAGGATCATGCTAAAGGTTTACTGAAATAAATGTTATTATGATCCTGCTCTTCAATCCATCACCTTAATAATATTTGATGTTTAACAGCCAAACGTTGCTATAGGAGCACGATAAATGGAATTGCACGGAAATTGCTATTAATGTTTTGGTACCCAAGTAGAATTCTGTAGTTGGAATCTGGAAAGGATAAAATCTATATAAGTGCCAGTTAGTCCAAGCTTGGAAGCACAAGGCACTTTTTGGAGCCAAGGGACATTTAGATTTACTGACTTGTTGAAACAGCTCAATAAAAAGCCGCTGAGCAACATTAGTTACCTGATTCTTGGAATTTGTCCAGAACTCTATGGGCTGGTTCCAGCTCCACTTTCCATAAACCATTTAAGTTAGGAGAATGTACCCTTCCACTGTTGCCCAATCATCTTACATCTTTCTATTACCTTGAGACATTACATTACATATACTACATGTATCATTGACCATGATGTGAATGAAAGCTCTTAAAAGGTGTTATACATTAAAGATGTTTAGAAAATGCCTAATTTCTATTGATTTGGCAAGAAGCAGGAAACACCAAATGATGGGAAGCACCAGAAAATGGGATGGTCAGGAAACAAATACTTACTTGTAAGTCTTCCTGTCGAATGGCCGAGCACTGACAGACATTCCAGGAGAGGTCTGTCTGTAAACCAGGTGATCTGTATTCCTTTCCACATAGCATACAGGATTGTACTGCAGGACCTTAAAAGTGATGACAGGGAATGGGAATAACTTGAAAAAAATCAGAACAAAATAGGTTTCTTCATAAAAGTGTAGAGAGACGTTGGTCTGGCTACATTTTGAAATTTGGTAAATATTTAATAGTGCTTAGTTCCTTTACCTGACACATCTAATACTAAGCTCTGCGTTATGGTTAAGCTCTTCATTCTCCGAGTTTTGGGCATTTGTTCTATTATGGACCATTAGGAATAATAAGTGCAGACCCAACATAGTACTGAAGGACAGCAGAGCAGCCAGAGTGCAAAGTGAGAAATTCGTCTCCGTAGAGGGTGTTATCCGAGACAAGACTCTCTCATGAATCATGATAAAACTGTCTGAAATATACTGTAGTCTGTCTCACACCTCAGGATTTGGACTTTAAACTTTTATTTTTAGTGTTGAGTAATGACAAGCTGCTATGCCAGGTATTATGTGTCTTCAACTAATACTGGACAGCAATCTTTCCAGTGCATAAGCAGATGCTCCTAGCCCAAAATGTATCTAAACCCCGAAATAAAATGTTAATATATTGCAGCTTACCGGTCCTTAGATGTAGCGGCTGTATTCATTTTTTATGCTTTTTTCTTTCTTTGTTCATTTCCATTACATGGGGATAGGTGTCATTAACCCTTTTGCTGCCAGGGCGTTTTGAGTGTATTTTGCATACACGTTATAATCTATATTTTAGGCCTGAAAATTACTAAAACCCCCCAAGAGATATTTCCTGAAAGCACAGATCCTGTAAAATAAAATGGCGGCAGTTGCAGATTTTTGTGGGGCATGATATTAGGGCAACCTTTTATCAAGGTCAATTTTAACGAAATTTCTGGGTTTAAGTTAATTTTAGTTCCCAAAAATGAAATATAATACCTATTTTTTTTTTTTTTTAGTTTATTATTAGTTTTTTTAGTTATTGCAAAAAAAAAAAAAATCTATTTTGTTGACCTCATTACTTGGACATGCTGCGTTAACATTTTTTTGATTACTGTGTACCAGCACTGCTACCATTGGAAAGATCAGCTTCAATACAGTGTTTATGTTTTACTCAAAGCAAATGTTTAAAATAGGTGCAAAAACTATTTTTGTCAATGTGATTCAGTCCTATTCCATCTGATACTATAAGCTACAGTTAGTATTGTGTGGGCAATGGGAGCAACGTGTGGGAACTACAGAAACCTCTTACGTTATTTCCATTGGTGATATATATGTAGCTGGTAATATTTATGTCACATTGCTTTTATAGTCCAACCACCCCTAATTTTTCTTTAACGTTACATACAAGTACTGTAGGTCATTAAACTTTCTGCTAGGTAAGCATCATTCATTTCTCTTATTAATGCAGGCTACAGGAAATACGTATTGTGACCAATGATTCGATACACACAGATTGTAGCAGGCTTCTTTTTTTTTTTTAAGGGCAGGTATGTATTTTTTTTTTCTAAAACACTTTCTTAGGCACTGTGTTAAGTACTAAAATATGATTACAATGTATATTGTGTATTAAATAGATTTGACATTTTACAGATTTGACATTTTACATTTCAAAATTGGAATCCAAAAAGTGTACTAAAGAACTCCAGGATTTGTTAAAATGAATGCTTGCACAGGGGCTACCCCCACACTTCAAGGGTTAACTGCTCATTTTGTCTAAAATAAAGAAGACATACTCACCTCATCCTCGGTCCTGCCTGTCTGATGGACTGGTCTGTACAGCTTTTTCTCCCCTGGGCTCCGGCGGTCTAATACAGGCCCATTACATGTGAGGATGACAAGGGACAAACCACAGCTGGAGTGGAGTGGGAAAGAGGTGAGTGGTCACTGCTGCAGGACCCAGGATTGGGTGAGTATATCGTCCTTATTTTCGCCCTAGAGAAAATAGGGCACTTAACCCTTGCAGTGTGGGGGTAACCTCATTGAAAGGGTTAACATTTGAAAAAAATCCTGCAGTTGTTCTGTAACGCTCAAACATCTACTACTGTTGTAAAAAAGACTTGTATTGCGGGTAGATGTAATTTTACAATGCTGCTGATTGAGGAGACTCACTGTCTTCCTCTCTGCTGCCAGTGACAAACTCATTTGCTATAGTTACAAACAAGTGTGCAGGCAGTGCTAGGTTTTCCTTATTAGAAAGCCCAGCATGCTTTGGAAACTGAGTGTTACAAATTCACCCTGCAATAAAGGTTTATTTGTGCAAACATATTAAGAAAAAGATAAATCAGTTTAAAAATGTATGTACAATAAAATGGACTACGACCATTGTATTTTCCCATTTAAAAAGTAGAGCAAAGACTATGTGCAAAATGCAATAACCAAGCACAAAACATCTCTGATATAACTGAAGTACACTGAAAGCTGACTGGTTGTTATATGTTTCCATGTTTTGTACATAATCAATACAAAGCACATTTAGTAAAATAAACCTATTATGTGCAGTGTTTCCTTTACACACCGTTTAGTAGCTGTTCAGAACATGGACTGGAACATTCACTCTCCTGGGACTCTTCCACTCTCACTTGACAGAACTTAAAACTCAAGTTGAAATAAAACATATGCAGTACATCTATGAAATACATCAACATTTCACAATGTAAATTCCAGGCAGTGTTATCAGCCCTGCCCATTTCTCTTTGCTGGACTTAAGAACACCTTGCCCTCTCCTCATCTCCATATTATAGGGGAAGGTGTTCTGTAGTCCACAGATGGGAACTGGGAGGGCTGATAACACTGCTTTGAATTTCAGTACAGCACAGGTAGAGCGCAATTACCTTATCTTAAAATGGCAGCATCGTTTTTCTATGAAGAAGCCAATATACGCTCAGCTTATCATTTTGAATAAATTGCATTTGCCCCTGCCCCACGAGACCAAAAGGAAATCAACCCTAGAAGAAGCATCTATCGGGTAAGCCAAAATTGTGAGGAAAAAGAAATAATGGCAAGATCTCACCTTCTGAATGTTTGACACATTTACTAGTATTCATTGGAGGTGATCTAGCGACTACCAAAGATGGCAAGGACATGGCCTCTTCTTCATGCACTTCATTTTTTGGTGGTAGATCTGCATCTTCTATTAGCTGTGTGTGATGATAATCCCCTGACAAAACATTATGGAAGGCAAACTTATATCCTCAATTTACATGTACAGGACTGAATCAACATATTAACATGAACCCAACCTGACCTAAAGCATTTTAAAGGTAACAACAAATGTGTGCCTTCCAGTTCCTGTGTTAGTCTTCAGATTGATCACTGTGGAGCCCCTTGGATACAGAACCAGAGATGTACATGGGGCCTCAACCTCTGAGCAAGATAGTACTAAGCGCTGACCACCCTGGTGCTAATACACATCACTGCCATTCAGCTATGCCAGATCATCAGTGTGCAGTGAAGGCTCTTGCACTTGACATCGCTTAGCACATAAGGGCTGACGCTTAGAACTGTTTTTACCTTAGAAATGTTTTAGGCCTAAGCAGGTTACTTCAATATTATATACAGTACATTCAACCTGTTCATTATTATAATATATATATA